AAATAATAGTCATCTGTAACTAGTCTGTAGCTATAACCTAATAGCACATTTGTTTTCTGTTGTATTTTTGCCCACTAGATAACGTTCTGTTTGGCTATGGGAGATGTACATTACTAAGCCATGGAGCCATCAAGAGGCCTTAGGCAAGTTGCTATCTGAGCCTCAGAAAACAAGCTGTAAAATGAGAATTCCAACGATATCATGTGGGTGTTCATCTTTGTAATAAGATAAAGGCTGTAATATGTTTTACATCAAAAGTGCCCTAAATAAAGTTGTGCTAAAGACTATCAGAACTGCTTACACAATTGCTTCACGGTGTCTCATGGAAAGGAATTTATAAATGAAATAAAAAATGTTAACCAGTCCTTTGAATGCTCCAGTGCATGTCAAGAGGAAATGCATTATCAATCTATACATAAATAATGTGCCACCAATGTGCATGGCACTTAGATTCATAGAACTACAGGAGGGGCACCTTTAACACTTTGAAAGAAAATCCAGAATGCAGCAAGCAACACTTTTGATACAGGTTGGAGCATTCACAACAAAAAGAGGCTTAATTTAAGCTAGCACTTGTCCTGAATGCTTACCTCAGGAACAAGCGTAGCACTTGAAATTAAGAGGGCCTGTGTAGAGTTGTTTCCCCTTCTCTACTCTGCTACAACTCACATGGAAAGAGCTCCTACAAGGGCTTTATACTCTCCATAATTATACAGGGCAAATTAAGCAGAATAATAATTTTAAAAATCACTAGGGCAGGATAAAGTACGATAAAAATGCTCCTCCAACCCACTGTCAGGTTGAGCATTTGACTTTAAAACAGCACATAGCAAACTGATGTTGCAACCATTTCGAAAGTTCAGATGTTGCCGATTCATCAAGGGGAGGGCAACCCACAGTAGTCAGACGTCAAAAAAAACCCCCTCTCTTCTCTTACAGAAGGCTACTACCACACACACAAGGTATCAAGATACTTCGGTCGGAATAGTATCGACGCCTACATGCCAAGTTTATCAGGTCGGTAACTATAGGCTGCGCCTCACGCAGCATACCTTGTACCAGAACAGCGAAGAATTTGGCAGCCGGGCAACTTGAGGAGGAAGAAGACACGCCTTTGGGAACTTGACCTTTCTCGTCACGCGGCAAAAGAAGGTGACCAGAGGCAACAGAATATGGGGCTCCTGTACTTTTAAGATGTGCGCAGGAGGAGGAATGTCGGCAGGTGCCACTTCTCACTCCCGAGTCCTGAGACAGGATAAGCGGCACCTGCCGAAGTTCCTTTCCTTTCCCACACAGCTTCCCGGGCTTCAGGCGACCCCGACTCAGGCCAAGCCACAGGCGCCTCAGTCAAGGGTCACCCAATGCCGCCGAAAAGGCTCCCAGGTATATCGGCAAGGAATGGCGGTTGACAAGTGACGACGCCTCTTCTCTCAGCCCGGACACCTTCGGCCCTGGAAGGTAACAAACCGCAGGTGGCTCGCCCGCCCGCCCGCCTCGCGTTACGAGGCCGTGAAAGCAAGGCCAGCCCAGCGCCCCCCGGTCTCCAGCTGCTTCTCTCGGTACTCACAGCCTGTCTCCTTCTTGATCTCCTCAATCTCCTCGTCCCGAAGCAGCGTGGAAGCCCGGGAGCCCATCGCGGCTGCTGCCTCACGGCCGGACAACCGCCTCGACGAAGCACTAGAGGGACTGCTCTTGGCCTAAGGCCGGCGGTCCTCCGTGCGGCGAGTCGGCCAGCCAATCAGCCGCGCAGACGCTGCGCCAGCGACCGAGATTGCGAGGGACACAGAGGGCCAGAGCACCGCCCCTCCTCTTATCGCCGCCGCGCGCTCCGCCCCCGTCCCGCCCCCGGCAGTTCGAGGGGGACCACGGTAGCCCCGCCTACCGCGCGTTACGCCTGCGCAGAACGACCCTCCGACCTTCTCGGTTGCCCTGATCGGTCTGATTCTGACGTCACCGTGGGCGGTTTCTAATCGTTCTCTGGGGAAAAAATACCAACTCCAGTCCACAACGGCGGTTATATCTACCTTATATTTGATGAACTTGGCATAGGCATTTAAACAATATTACACCATTCTATGCTGGTTAGCCTCGAAAGTGTTGAAAGGTAGCGGGTTCCCCCCCCCAATTATTGTTTACTTTCCAGTCTGGCGAGGCGCAAAGGACTGTGGGAATTGTAGTCTGGCGCTTACGCCCTCCTAGTGGTTGCGCAGGCTTCTCGGTCTTTAAGCTAGTCATGCATTCATTCCTATGTGAAATCCTGGAAGTCCTCGTGAGTGGAGGAGCTGTGAAATAATTTTACGTTGCTGGTTTTCAAAATGGCCTCAGCTTTCCTAGGCGAGAGGAAACTGCCCCTTGGCTGTAGTGTATATTTCTATTTTTATTTTATTATTCATTAAATTTGTATACCGCCCTATACCCAATAGATCTCAGGGCGGTTCCCAACAATATGTAACTTAACTTTTTCCTCTGCATTTCAGGGAAATGCACAAGAGTTCTCAGACAAAACGTGATAAATAGTGGCTATTCTAATCTTGGTGTTAATAGGCAACAATGCCCATGGCCAAAATTGTTAATCTCCTGACTGAAGGGGCAATCCTTTCACATCAGTCTCTTTATGAGGTGCAGCTACTTTTAATAAGATCAAAGGCAGAGGAAGCAACCTGTTACAACATCATGGCTCACTTCTAAGGCACCTTTTTGTAAATTAAGACCACAAAAAGCTCCTCAGCTTCAAGAGTATTTAAAAGCTTGCTGGAAGCCTGCAGAGGGGAAAAGGGAGAATTCTGGTTATCTTGCAGTCTGCTATATTTGTGTGGTGAATGCGGAGCAACGGGTTCCTATAATCTTGCAGTTTTCTTGGTTTCTATGTTGGGTGTGGTGTGACAGAGCATTTCATGGTTTCTCTGCCAGCCTGATCACTTGCATTTGGCTACCAAGGCTGTGGTCCTATCCCCACTTGTTTGGGAGTAAGTTCCTATTTAACTCTATATGGCTTACTTTTGAATAGACGTATAAGATTGCTATCTTATCAATATGTAGAAAGCAATTCTTATTGAACTTAATAGGCCTCATTTTTGAGTAAATCTGTTTGGGATTGTTCTGAAGTTGTGCTGAATACAGCCAAGAATCTCACATCTTAATGCCTTGGTATTTATTATTGGATTATTTTATCTTTCATGCTGTTTTATTGTAGCTTGCCCTGGAAGAGGGGGCTAAAAGCACATTTGAGTAAACATCTTTATAGACTTGAATTCGTCAGAAAAACCTAGATCGGTATAGCCCACTCTTCCACCTTAATTTCTTTAAACCTGCAGTTTTCTAGATTTTGGACAAGCTAATGTGTCTTCCTCCCACTTCCTTTTCATACCTTATTGTGATAAAGTTTCAAGAGCTGGTTTAGAATCCTTGTGACACTAGTTTGTCTTAAATTTATTTTTAGAATTAAAATCTAATATGGATGTCATTTTATCCCTTGGTGCTATGTGTATTGATAAAATGAGATGAAATGAGTGCCTAAAGCATATTTCAAGTTCAGCAAAATGTAAGTTTAAGGAGTTGTAAAAACTATGTATGTATGTATACATGCATTTTATACTTCCTGCCTTTGAATTCTTCCTTCAAATTCTATACGCAATAGACCAATTGCTGGTATCAAAGTGGCAATCTTATTAGATTATTCTTCCATTTTGGGGTCTGGCAAATCTCTTAGGAAAACAGTGTCTCTGTATTCTGAAATAGGGTGTGTCATTACTTACAGAACAGGCTTTAATGGAATAAGAAACTTTTCAAATACATTATTCAAAGTCACAAATTCCTTGCAGGCCTACCTGGGGGCTCGAGTGACTGATAATGCTGCTCTTTGTTTTTGCCTTAGACTGCAAAAAGTAAGCAAAACTTTAATTACATATGCACAAAACTGCAGTGATAGTGGTGGGAACTGACCTCAGGATAATGAAAAGTGATGTGATAAGCATTTGATTCTTTTAAATGGGCAGACTTGCTAGTTCCCACACATTAAAACACTGCAGCTGTGCATAAATACCTCTTTCCATTTTAAAAATAGGCTGTAGTTTTGTTTGGCTGACCCCTGGGCAAAAGGTTTCAAATAGTTAAAATTATATTTAGTGGTGGCTTCAAGCTGTATGGAGGATAAATCTTATCATATTTTACTCTCCAATATCAAGGGATAACACATAGGGTTGGCTAGTGCCAAGATGAAGTGTATTAAATAACAGCATTTACATGAAATCACCTTAATCCACCTTTAGAGCAGGTGTATTAAAGATACAAATTTGCTCAATTTTAGTTTGCTCAAATTGTTTCTATAGCCCACTAAAGGTGCTAGCTGATTGCAGTTTCCAGTATGTAGCATTGCATGCTGAACTGTTATTACTACAAATTGCAAATATCCAAAACAGCTGGATTTTATGACTAACAGAACTATGTCAACTTTTAAGTAGGTCCTATTAACATCAGTGGGGTTTACTTCCAGGTAAGTGGGATTAGGATTGCAGCCTTAATGTTTTCTTTCTGATCACACTGGAGTAGTCTTGAAGTGTTTGACTTTTTCTGCAACATTAGCCACTTGTTTGACAAGCCTTTTTACATTTAATTTTTTACTGTGCAATCTGTTCTCTGCAATGTCACTTTGTAGTAAATTTCTCCACCTGGATTTTTATGATACCCTATTCCGTGTGAAGCCTATTACCGTATTTTTCTGTGTATAACATGCCCCCCATGTATAAGACGCCCCCTGTTTTGGGGGACTCAAAATTAAGAAAATGGGGGGAGATTGCCCCTGTGTATAAGACTACTCCCCCTTTTTAACATTATTTTTTAGTAAAAAAAACCTAGTTTTATAGACGGAAAAGTACGGTAATTGAAATATTTTTCTTGCTGCAGTTCTTGTTTACCTTACACAGTTTATCTTTAGTGTCCCTGTTAACTGTAGAATAATTTTTATAATAGTACTAATGATAACAGAAAGCTTTTCTGTTTAGTTTCTTATTTAGACTGAGCACCAGATTCCTTGACGGATAAAAAACATAATGGATCCTAGCAGCAATTACCACTTCCTTCATGACATCCTGAGGAAAACTGTGAAAATCACACTGAAATGTGGCACATTCCAAGGGGTGCTGCAACATGTGGATTCCAGCCGAAGCATCTTTCTGAACAGAGGTTCTACATTTGTTTTGAACTAAATAATTTCTATTGGAAACTGTTTTTTCAACTATTATTAGGGGAGATCCTTGAATTTTCTAGAAGCAATGGTCTATGGATTAGAAGTGTATGTTGGTCTCTCTAATGGGTATCAAATGATTCATTATAAAGCCTCTGAATAGCTGTCACACAAGGAGTTATTATACTCAAAATTTACAAAAATCTTTAGCATCGGTATATCCCTGTCTCTCAAAACTTTTGAAAACTGATCATTTTCCTTACGTCAGACTATGGGCGTCTCTCCACTCTTCACCCCAACGTTTCCAAATTTTAGATCCAGCCCGCAGGCCACCAGTTGGTCATCCCTTTTCAATACAGCCATCTGTCGATGTTAGTATTTGGGTGTAATAGTCAAAATAAATTTCTGCATTGAATATCCTTGGCATGCTTACCTACACAATTTGAAATGTTAAAAGCAAAAGGGTTACAAGGGGTGCTAAATAGAATTGCTCCTGTGTTCCAGGACTGCATGAAATACTAGCCCATACAGCTCTTGCTGTTCTTCCTTAGGTTATCTAGGTGATGGTTATTTAAGGTATGTGGATGTTTGATGTTACATGCATATGGAAAAATCCAAATAAAAGAACAAGTATATTGGTAGTATTTCACTGATAGTAGATCCCTGTAAAAAGGTAAAGGACCCTGGACGGTTAAGTCCAGTCAAAGCTGACTATGGGATTGCAGCGCTCATTTCGCTTCAGGCTGGGGGAGCCAGCATTTGTCCACAGTCAGCTTTCCGGGTCATGTGGCCAGCATGACTAAATCACTTCTGGCACAATGGAACACTGATGAGTGCCAGAGTGCACATAAATGCCATTTACCTTCCTGTCACAGAAGTACCTATTTATTTACTTGCACTAGTGTGCTTTCAAACTGCTAGATTGGCAGAAGCTGGGACATGAGCAGATTCAAACCTCCAACCTTCCAATCGGCAAGCCCAAGATGCTCAGTGGTTTAGATCACAGCGCCACCCATGTCCCACAGTTACCCTATATGAGCATGTAAAATGCAGCATAATCCTTTTAAAATTTATTCAAAGGTAAGCCCCATTGAGGTAATTTGACATATGACCAAATAAGGGTGCATGGGATCACAGCCTAATTTCATAAATAGCCCAAATTCCAAGAATCTCTCGAACCAGGGAATGTATTGGATTACTCAGTGCTTGAGGTGTATTCCTGGCAGACGGAGTTGCAGAACAGCATTCCTCTCTTCTGCCTTCAGTGGTATTTGCTGTCATTTCCTATTACTGCAAAAATTTGATCCTGGATGAGGAGGAGGTTGTATTCTTAGTTGCTGGTACCCAAGCACCATGGTTTAGGGGATTTAGCTTCCTAAATCAACACCCATCTGGAAATGATAGAAAGCTGTGTTGCTTTTCTGCAACAGGCTAACACAGAGATCAGTTATAGAAGACATTGGAAACTTCTTAGTCAAAAGCATTCCTGATTTTACAACCTGAGTATAATCATGGTGCCTTGCTAGTACAGTGGTGCCCCGCAAGACGAATGCCTCGCAAGACGGAAAACCCGCTAGACGAAAGGGTTTTCCGTTTCTGAGTTGCTTTGCAAGACGATTTTCCCTATGGCCTTGCTTCGCAAGACGAAAACGTCTTGCAAGTCTTGCGGTTTTTTCCCCCGCTCCCCCCCTTTTTCTAAGCCGCTAATAGCCTTTTAGCAGCTAAGCCGCTAAACCACTAATAGCGCTAATCCGCTTAGCTGCTAATAGGGTTGCTTCGCAAGACGAAAAAACCGCTAGACGAAGAGAATCACGGAACGGATTCTTTTCGTCTTGCGAGGCACCACTGTACTCTAGTTGCACCAATCAGCAAAAAATATTTTTAGCAGGAGATTTATTATTATTATTATTATTATTATTATTATTATTATTATTATTATTATTATTATTTTATTTATACCCCGCCCTCCCCAGCCAGAGCCGGGCTCAGGGCAGCTAACACCAATAAAATTACAATAAAACATAATGGGGGGGGACACAAAAAACAAAACAAAAACCCAGTTTATTAAACTACGGGTGAAAATACAATTTAAAATGCAGCCTCATTTTAATAGTAGCCCATAAATCAAAACCATAAGGGGAGGGAAACATAAGGGTCAGACTGAGTCCAAACCGAAGGCCAGGCGGAACAGCTCTGTCTTGCAGGCCCTGTGGAAAGATGTCAAATCCCGCAGGGCCCTAGTCTCTTGTGACAGAGCGTTCCACCAAGTCAGGGCCAGTACTAAAAAGGCCCTGGCCCTAGTTGAGACAAATCTAACCACCTTGCGGCTTGGGAGCTCCAAAGTGTTGTTATTTGTGGACCTTAAGGTCCTCTGCGGGACATACCAGGAGAGGCGGTCCCGTAGGTACGTGGGTCCTAGGCTGCGTAGGATTTTAAATGTCAAAACCAGCACCTTAAACTTGACCCTGTACTCCACCGGGAGCCAGTGCAGCTGGTAAAGCACTGGATGAATGTAATCCCGTGGCATGGACCCCGTAAGGAGCCTCGCCACAGCATTCTGCACCTGCTGAAGTTTCTGGATCAGCTTCAAGGGCAGCCCCACGTAGAGCAAGTTACAATAATCAAGCCTGGAGGTGACCGTCACATGGATCACTGTGGCCAGATCAGGGCGAGAAAGGTAAGGGACCAACTGCTTGATATGGCGGAGATGGAAAATGCCACCTTTTCTGTGGCTGCAACCTGTGCTTCCATGGAAAGGGAGGCACCGAAGGTTACACCCCAGCTCTTGACAGAAGGCGCTGGCACTAATTGAGCCCCTGCAAGAGATGGGAGTTCGGCCCCCAACCCCATTGTGTCCCAACCCAACCAGAGGACCTCTGTCTTTGAAGGATTTAATTTCAACCAGCTCCCACACGGCTATCCAGCCACAGCTTCCAAGCATCTGGTCAGTGTGTCCGGGGCTGAGTCAAGGCAGCCGTCCATCAACAGATAAAGCTGGGTGTCACCAGCAAATTGAGGACAATCCAGCCCCAAACTCTGGACAATCTGGGCAAGGGGGCGCATAAAGATATTAGCAACATTCCATAACTGCAAATAATTCCATTGTCTTCCCTGGACGCGGGTGGTGCTGTGGTCTAAACCACTGAGCTTCTTGGGCTTGCCAATCAGGTCAGTGGTTCGAATCCCTGCGACGGAGGGAGTTCCTGTTGCTCTGCCCCAGCTCCTGCCAACCTAGCAGTTTGAAAGCACACCAGTGCAAATAGATAAATAGGTACCGCTGCAGTGGGAAGGTAAACGGTGTTTCCATGTGCTCTGGTTTCCATCACGGTGTTCCATTGCACCAGAAGTGGTTTAGTCATGCCTGCCACATGACCTGGAAAGCTGTCTGTGTACAAAGGCCAGCTCCCTTGGCCTGAAAGTGAGATGAGCGCTGCACCCCATAGTCACCTTTGACTGGACTTAACCGTCCAGGGGTCCTTTACCAATACCTATTATCACTGAAATGCTTTTGGCAGTAGCTACCCACTTTTCTCAAAATCTGCTTCTAGCACGGCACATGGATCTATGTGGCATCTCAAGGAGATTGATTAGATTTCCAGAGTTGTTTACTTAATGCTAAATATACAATATAATAACAAGATTTCATTTACTGTACTGAAAATTCCTTAGCAGCTGTCTTCAAGTTAAGCTTCTTAAAGCTGCCCTACTAAATTAATTGGAAGAACACTGGAATGCAAATGCTTTTAAGATTTATTTACTTGGATGAAATGCAGGTGTTTGTGCAACTTTTATCACATGCAAGAGAATTTCAGCAGTGTTGGCATATAAGGCATTAAATATATCCATATTTTATACAGCCAAAAAAGGCTAATCTCAGCTGTGCTGTATAAATTTCTCAATAGCTGGCATCCTTTGATGAATTCCAAAGCAATACCTTAAGCAACTGATAGGGTAGAATCATCTCTCACAGTTACATGTGCAGACGTCTGCTGCATTTTCTGTACCGGTTACAGCAGAACATTATGTTTTTTGGCATGAATTTATTCATTTGTTTGTTTATTTAACAAAATCTATATACCACCTGATTGTAAGAAAACCTAAGTGGTTTCTAGCATTTTATTATGCTAAAAAGGATAAATATTCTAAGAATTTGATTCTTCACATAGCAGTCTGGATCCCTCATATTCACTTTTTCAAGGAACAAACAACTTTTAATTGTCTAGATTTCTGTCCTGCCTCGTTCCTGAACTTACAAAGCAGCTAACACTAGGAAAAAGGAAAAAGAAATAAAAATATAAAACAAAAATATAGATTAGCCAAGAAGATTAAGTTAAACAGGACAGAAAGAACCAAAATCATAACTAAACTAAATGCCATTAAAATAGGATAGGCCTTGCCAGGTGCCTAAAAGATAATAAGATGCTTGCCAAACATTATTTAGGAGGGAGTTCCATAATTTAGGAGGCACCACAGAAAAGGCTGTTTTCTGGTGGTCACCCACAAACCTTAGGCAGTGAAAACAGTCTAAGAAAAAGCTTCCAAAGAAGGCCTTGTCCTGACAAAAATGTAGGTTGCTCTGGAAGAATTACTTAATCACATTCTTGTCTATTGGAATAAGTATGACTAATCTGGCTCATTTGGTGTGTAGGTTGCAATCTGAAGCCCTGAAGCTGCAAACACCTACATAGGGTGTTAGGGCCACATTGATTTCATTGATGATAATAATTTTATTATTTATACGCTGCCCATCTGACTGGGTTGCCCCAGCCATTCTGGGTGGCTCCCAACTAAGTTTTAAAAACACAATAAAACACGAAACATTTAAAAACTTCCCTACACAGGGCTGCCTTCAATTGTCTTCTAAAAGTCAGAGAGTTGTTTATTTCCTTGACATCTGATAGGAGGGCATTCCATAGGGTAGGTGCCCTGCCTGGTTCCCTGTAACTTCACTTCTCATAGTGAGGGAACCTGGAGATCTGAGGTTCTACTCCCTTGGTTTAGTTCCTCCTGTTGTTTTTAATGTGTCTTTATTTTATTATTATTTATGTGGAATACGTTTTAATTCATACTCTTCTCTGAGATCCTTTGGAATGAAGGGCAGGCTAAAAATAATATATATACAGCACTTGGCTTTTAAACTGCACCATTTTAAACAGGACAGTAAAGAAATATCATAAAACAGATTAGCTCAGTATAGTGCTACAAAGCACCTTAAGAAAATAGGATTGATGCACACAATTTTAAAAATCCTCAATGTACTGTACATTAGCTATACTAAAAGTATGGTGCCCACCTAATTATGAAGAAGCAAACTATACAGTGAGCAAACTGTTCAAAGGTTACAAGAAAGCTTGACGGTTGGATGATTTTCACAGAATTCCACTCTGCTATGTTCGCCAGTGATATTTTATATCTCAATTCTTAATAATTATAATAATTATTTATTATTTCTACTCCGCCCATCCGACTGGCTTTCCCCAGCCACTCTGGGTGTCTCCCAACAGATTAAAAACAGAATAAAATATCAAATATTTAAAACTTTCCCAAATCCTTTTTGCTTTGGTTAAAGGGCACGACACTTACCTTGCTGTATTTTGTTTTCTTCAGTTAAGAACTTGGAAAGTGGCAGATACGTACCAGGAGTAAAGATGTTCTTTGGCCATGAAATTGTCAATGGTGAGAATATATATATTTAGTTATACTCAGAAATTCTTGGTTGAGTTTAATGCCAGCTGACAGTTCTTTTTGTCCCACCCATTTTCAAATGAGGTTCCCTACTCAAGGATGCCTGTGCATGAGCATAGCCAGGATTTTTGTGGGGGGGGGGCAGGACTTTTGTGGGGAGGGCAAAACCAATGTGATTGGTCAGTTTGTTAAGTATTTCTATTGTTTTACTTGATCTGCCCCCCTTGATTATGCCCATGTGCCTACATCCAGTTCAGTGAAACTGACAAATATATGTGCAATTTTATTACAGTGAGTAATACCACAGGATTCATAAAATGCTATGGAAAAGCTGTAATAAAGATCTGTTGGTCACATTTCAACACATTACACAAGTTAATTCCAACATTTTACAAAAATGCATGTTCCATGAAAAGCTAGAAGTCAAGTGTACATTAATATTGTCTTTGCATATCCTTAAAGTCAATACATGCTCACGTATGATCTGAAGCTTTGATGGCAGTACAGTGGATAGTGGAATGATTTAAGCATTAAATAATGGATATTTCATGTTTGTGATCACTATAATTAGAGTCATCAGCATCAGTATATTTGTATGTCTCTTTGCTATGGTAGAACAGCAGCTCATAACATACAGAATAAAATATAACAACATTTCAAGATAATGCATTAACACTTACAAAACACAACACAGTTTAAACAAAAAGCCACAGTACTATTAATAGGGCAAACAAACATATCATGTTAATAAACACTGAAACAATGCGTAACAATAAAATACAAAGCATCCAAACAGCAGCAAAGACAATACCCCCTTCAGGAAGAGTGGGGAAAGCAAGTAAGAAAACTCTTCCTTGTTGGTTCCAGCAGACCCTCCTCTGTAGCAATGAATTGGTGGCTGCTTATCTTTACCTTTAAGGTATTAAGGGACTCGGGTGGCGCTGTGGGTTAAACCACAGAGCCTAGGACTTGCTGATCAGAAGGTCGGCGGTTCGAATCCCCGCGATGGGGTGAGCTCCTGTTGCTCGGTCCCTGCTCCTGCCAACCTAGCAGTTCGAAAGCACATCAAAGTGCAAGTAGATAAATAGGTACCGCTCTGGCGGGAAGGTAAACGGCGTTTCCGTGCGCTGCTCTGGTTCGCCAGAAGCGGCTTAGTCATGCTGGCCACATGACTGTACGCTCCTTCGGCCAATAAAGCGAGATGAGCAAACCCCAGAGTCGGCCACGACTGGACCTAATGGTCAGGGGTCCCTTTACCTTTAAGGTATTAAGTTGTAAAGTAGGAAATAGCTTGCTCAGAGCTTGCCTGTTCTAAACTGCTCTCAATCTTAGGCTGCAAACCTCTCTCCTTGGAGTAAGCCCCCTTGAACAGAATGGGATTTACTTTTGGGTAAACTGGATTATATAGTGAGACTTCTGTTTGCAATATGGTTATAATAATAATGACTTACCCTACACAGATATTGATAGAATTATTACAGGCAAAGCTTAATAATAGCATTTAGTAAAAGCTCTGAAAACTAAATGGAGGAAGGGTTGACATGAAAGCATTTGAAGGTCATATTGTAAACCTGTAGAACAGACATTTTCAGAAGCTTTTGCCCTGCTGTCTTTGAAATGTACACCTTTTAAGCCTTACCTCAAAGCCTCTGTTTTAAAAGGACACTTATTCCTGTGGAGGCATCACACACCCGTTACCCTTGCAACCTTGCCCGCCCTTGTCTGCTGCTGAATGTCTCGCCTTTTGTCATAGGAATGATTCTGCTCTATTTGTTAATGGCTGCACTCAGCTTGCCTTACCAGGTCGGTCTGGCCCTCTTAGCATAGGCCAAGTCTAGGAATTTCCATGTTTGGCACAGTTTAGTCAAACCTTCATTCATTCTAACTTTTGCTAATTCTACCAAAATCTAAAATGTATGCATGGAAGTTGCAATTGTCATTTAGGGACATACTAGAAATCCTTTATAACATTTTCAAACTTTCCAGTAGCACCTTAGAGACCAACTACGTTTGTTATTGGTATGAGCTTTCATGTGCATGCACACAAAAGCTCATACCAATAACAAACTTAGTTGGTCTCTAAGGTGCTACTGGAAGGATTTTTTTAATTTTGTTTTGACTACAGCAGACCAACACGGCTACCTACCTGTAATTTTCAAACTTGCCCTTCACTGGTAAGATTAAAACCAATTTTGGGGAGGAAAACTTATGTAGGGTTGTATTAAATGAATGGGCCGCCCAGCAGAGTCTTAGGGGCTGCATATTCTGCAGCCTTTCTCAATTCAGTGAGCCCTGTTTCCTTTCTCTCCCCCAGCCCCTTCCCTGTTTCGTTCTCAAATCCTTGTGCACTTCCCATTCTACCTTCTCAAGGACCTTGTTTTCAGATCCTGAATAGGCAGCCTGTTGTGGAGAGCATAATAGTAGTGCAATACTAGCTGCTTTTGTCAATAGAGCCAAAGTGGTTTTTGGAGAGATTCTGTAGAATAGGCGAGTGTAACTTCTATTTCCTATTTCCATGACATGTTTGCATTTAATTTAACCCTCTTAAGAGTCATGCTATGCATATTGTCCTGTAGAATGAGCGCCTCTTTTCCAGCACATTCCAATCTTGGTAGCTTCCTTTCTTCTTGGGAGGCATGATTGCATTCTTCATTTGCCAGTAGAGTTTTTGGCCTATCTTCAACTTTCTAGGTATTGTGTAGTTCCTCATTGAAGGCAAAATCTGTAATTGGAGCTGTATATTCATGTTTCAGTGGAATTAATTGATGATTCGGAACAACATGCTGCAGAAGGAAAGACAACTCCTACCAGGTACATATGAAGAGTTTTATCATTAAGGATCACTGGTGAACTTGGATATTAGGATACGTTAGGTGGAAAATCTTATATGTATACTGATTCAGCAAACTAAAGCAGTCCAGAAGCCTACTACTTGCAAGATGGCTGTAATCTATTGTCCCATAACCTTCTACAGGATAGCCTGTGAACTTTGCACATTGCCTCTGTAGTTCTTAATTTAAAATAACCTCTGTTTCTGAGTCCAGCTTCTCATTATTACCATTCCTCCACAACTGAAATAATATTTTGTGTTGGGGGCGGGGTGAGGAGTGGCATGGTCCTATGTCATGTAATTTGAAAAAACTAGAGCTAAATTTCAGGGAATCTCCATTTAGAGATAAACAAACGTTACTTCCGGAAACCACTACAAGCAAGCAATTCCAGTTAGGATTAAAATCTTAACTCTAATTCTGCTTGCTTGCATTCTACTATTTTTCTGCTGAGGATCTTCCCTTCCTTGCTTCTAGGGTAACCCAGAATAACCTCTCCTGACCTGAAGCCCATGGGTGTAGGCAGTTGCCCTCCCCAATCAAGTAAATAAACAACAATTATTAACTAAAAGTAGAATTTGGCAGATTTTTCTGAGCACTTTTCAAAAGAAAGTAATTTAAAACAACTGTTGTTGAGACATTTCATTCCAAATTTGCTGGACAGAGCCAGATAGAGGATGATGACAGGTGGGTGCATTGCTAACACAAATCCTGGCTTTGCCCATGCTGAAGCCCCGTTGCCTAAATCAATTTAAATTAACCAAGAGCTTTAACAATTGCCAGTTCTTTTGCAAGATGTGAATGTTTGCCTAAGAAGTCCTTGCTGCGCATAGAATAAAATGCCAAGAGTTTTTATGTTTACGTTAGTTAAAATGTAAAATGTATTCTGTCCACAATTTTACCGTAGTTGATCATGACAATTGATCAGGGCACCCTTAATGATGTGTTGCACAGGGAAGCTCCATCTATCCAAGTGTCTGCAGCGGACAAAGGAGAACCACGGAAGCGGAACACACAGAATCCTGATTCTCTTTCTCAGGACACTCATCAGCTCAAGCTGGGTAACTTCAGGTACAACTTTTCAGGTAGCTACCAGAAATGCAGCCTAATATCCAAGCAGCAACTCATAATCCCATAATTTTTATGTCATCAACTTGGGGCTCTATTTGTTTGTTTATATGCTCCCCACACTTCACATTAAGGTCCCAAGGCAGATTACAGCAGTAAAAACAACTTTCAAGTATGAAAACAAGTAGGGTCCTAAAAACATAAAACATTAATAGCCCAGGGTAAAGAGGTGTGTCTTCAACCTTCTCTGAAAGTTGTACAATGAAGGTGCCAGACGCAGGTCTGTGGGTAGGAAGTTCCATAGCTTAGGGGCTGCCACAGAAAATGCCCTCTTCCGGGCATACCTCTACCCGTCTCCTGTCTGCTTGCCCAGACACTTTTTCAACCATTAGCATAGCCTAAGCCATGTGGAAAGTTAATCAGCCCTTGAGTGTATTCAGCAAGCAATTCAGCCCAGAAATCCAGTTCGGTAGTTTATTTACATCTGTGGATAAGATAATGGGCAAAATGGAATATTTGTGGTTAGTGCTGTAATTGCTTGGGTGGAAGAGAATTCCTAGGACTCTAGATTCAACTGGAAATTATATGGAATGTAAAAATAATATGGTCGCTGTAATACAGAAAGTCTTAGCTTTTATTTCCTAGCCTTCAAATGCTTAATTTGGAAACTGTATCACTTTATATCGTTCTATTCATGTCATGGAGCAGTAAGAAAAAAGGCCTTTTAATTACAGTTGTGTCTTGACAAAAGAGGATCCAGAAACAACCTGCTTTAAAGAGATTTATGTGTAACTTGCTGTTAACAAGCATTATAACCAAATGTTTTGAAGAAAGGGTTGCTGAGTTAATCAATTTATTTTATCTGTTTTCGAAGTATTGTTTCATGTCTCATGACAGTTTACCTTTTTCGTAAAGGAGAAAGCATAGTGTATTTTTTACAATACATATTTTACAAACGTATACTGTGAGCATAGGCAAGAGAAAATGTTTAGTATGGTATCTTTTTAACTGCAGATCAAGACAAAGGGGAGGATATAGAATATGTTGTTGTTGATCAATTTCAGAAGCAGTTTGGTTCTGCAGTGAGTATAATATTGTTACTTTTACTTAAGGGTGTTTGTTTTGGTTGCTGTTCTGGGAAATTGTAGTTTGGCCAAGGATTTCTAATGGAATACCCAGCACCAAACTACTTTTCCCAAGGTTCATTGAAAACTCTGACCAATCACCAAGTGGTATAAATCTAATATAAATCTGAATGTTTAGAATTCATCATTTGTTAAATTTGTTTCCATTTTTTCCACTAAATGATACAGCAGTGAGCAACAGTAAAATCCAAAAAAATAATCAAATCAGAAAAGAGGTATGTAAAACATAAATCAATAAGAACAACAGCCAGTTGAACAAATTGCAATATTTACAGTGATTAGTTCAGTTTGTTAGAACACGGTGCTGATAATGCCAAGGTTGCAGGTTTGATCCCCATAAGGGACAGCTGCATATTCATGCATTTCAGGGGGTTGGACTAGATGATTCTCAAGGTCACTTCCAACTCTGATTCTATGAGAAAGTCAGATTGTGCTTGAATAAAAGCATCTTTGCCTGTCTGGCCAGAAGGTTATCCAAGAAGGGGCTCAGATATTCTTCTCTGACAAGGAGTTTCAGAATTTCTTTCCTTTCTTGATCTCCTACATGCTTCAGATGTTGAGAGGAAAAGGGGGAGCGTCTCTTGAGAATCTTGAACCACAGGCAGGCTCATATGATAGAATGCAGTATTTCTGATAAACAAACCCAAAGTTGTGTTGGACTTTGCATGTTATAACTAACACTGAATTAATGCCTGGAAATTTCACCAGTAGCCATTGAAATTATTGCAACAGGCTTCCTGTAACTTGTCCTGGTCAATGGTATGGCTACAGTGTTCTGATATATGCCTTGAATGACCATGTTGGTTGGCACTTAGAATGTGAGGTGCTTGAATACATCAGTATAAACTGTTGGAAAATCTGGCCATAAATCAAAAGTACAAGTCTTAATCACTTGTTCAGGCTTGTTGTTGGCGGCTCTTGCAGGAGTGTGTGTGTGTGAGAGAGAGAGGTGTCAAAAATCTAAAATTTTGTTACCAATTCTAAATTGAGTTTAATAATTTTTAGTGGATTACTTTAATTGTATAATTTGCCCATAGATGAAAGAACAGCATCTTAACATACCACCATGGGGTAACCACAGTACAAAGGGTATATTGTTACACGAGAAAATAACTTAGTAAACACCATCTAGGTGGGAAACTTTTGTTAGGCTGTAGAATGTATCTGAAGAAGTGTGCATGCACACGAAAGCTCATACCAAGAACTAACTTAGTTGGTCTTTAAGGTGCTACTGGAAGGAATTTTTGTTTTGTTTTGACTATGGCAGACCAACACGGCTACCTATCTGTAACTGGACCTAAAACTTCGTATTTAATGGCACTGTCTGAATAAACGCTAGTAATGCTCAAGGAATGGAAACCCTGGGTTATTTTTATCTTTACACTTTGCTGATTATCCCTTGTTTCTCACTACCTCCGATGTATGCTGGGTGTGAATTTTATGTTTGTCACAAATGAGGCATCATGTTTTCTGACCTGTCTTCTTCACTCTCCTTTACCTAGTAGTTTCTCCCCTTCTCACTAGATGGTGCACATCAAAAAGCAGAATGTTTGTAGTGTAGCAGCAGAGGGTGTCAATTTGTGTCGCCATGGAAAACTCTCTTGGTTGCAGGTAAGAAGGAATATTTTATAAGCACTTAACATTGCTATTTGGAACCTTTGGGCCGAAACTTTTGATTTTGTGTTTCTTAATCAGTGGTCTTCTTATAGCCAAGAGATACCTAAGAGGAACAAAGAATATGCTATATCTGGGGTCTTCAGTATAACTCCCCTTTTTCTTTATTGTGTTGTTATGTAGCCCTTTGTTAACATACACAAATATATTCCTGGGGCCCTCTATGGTCCTTTGGGACCTTCTAAGCCATGGGTAGCCAAACTAAGGCCGGGGGCCGGATCTGGCCCAATCGCCTTCTAAATCCGGCCCGCAGAAGGTTCAGGAATCAGCGTGTTTTTACATGAGTGGAATGTTCTCTTTTATTTAAAATGCATCTCTGGGTTATTTGTGGGGCTTGCCTGGTGTTTTTACATAAGTAGAATGTGTGCTTTTATTTAAAATGCATCTCTGGGTTATTTGTGGGGCATAGGAATTCATTTTTTTCCCTTCCAAAATATAGTCCGGCCCGCCACAAGGTCTGAGGGACAGGGGACTACCCCCTGCTGAATAAGTTTGCTGACCCCTGTTCTAAGCAGTTCAGAAGAACAAACCCTCTAAGTAGATTTGCTTCCCCTACTGCTTGAAGGCAGGAATGCATTCTGGAAGGAAGTATTTTGGCTTTCTTCCCTTGAAGCACCGGTTATGTTCTTACCTTCACTCAGAGCAGATCATATGTCTTCTATTTGTCTTCTCTTTTGTCTCAGGTGTGTGTGTGTGTGTGTGTGTGTGTGTGTGTGTGAGAGAGAGAGAGAGAGAGAGATTCTGTTAGGACAATAAGATTCATATTATGAAAATATTTTATTGCTAATATTTAAGTAAAACAGGTATGTATAATTTTTGTTTCTGTCCTGTATATTTATTATAGATTGCAACGAAGAGCAAGGTTTTCTTGTTTGACATTTTCCTTCTGGGAGCTCGAGTGTTCAAGAACGGACTCCAAATGATACTAGAAGATCAGAATATTTTGAAAGTAAGTATTTGTCTAGCACAGGGCATCTGAGAACCTATGCAGAGAAAATGTAAAATAACATAAACATGCATTTATTTATATATTACTTTTATCTCACCAACTACTACAGTACCTCTTCCTTATTTTCTTTAGGTTATCCATGACTGCCGGTGGCTTTCAGATTGTCTTTCTCACCAGTATGGAGTTATGCTCTCCAATGTCTTTGATACACAGGTAGCTTGTTAGTTACTTGTTCTCTAACTAGATTTTTCAACACACTTCTCCTTCACATGCAGCTGCTGGGTGACCTTGGGCTAGTCACACTTCTCTGAAGTCTCTCAGCCCCACTCACCTCACAGAGTGTTTGTTGTGGGGGAGGAAGGGAAAGGAGATTGTTAGCCGCTTTGAGACTCCTTAGGGTAGTGATAAAGTGGGATATCAAATCCAAACTCTTCTTCATCATCATCTTCATCTTCATAAAGAAATATCTTAGTTCAAGGATGTTTGTCTTCAATTTCATGTGTACAATATTTCACAGAATCTAGAAAAAAACTGAATTTGATATCTGAAGTCTGCTTGATTAATTATATACAGCTATATCATAAGAAATATCAAAGTGGTTTACAATAATATATGTAATAAAAACATGTAAAAAAAAAATCAGCAATCAGTTAGCTATTATGGAAAGATGCTTTCTTAGTTGCCTGCATAAGCCTGACAGCAAAGAAAAGTTTTCTGCAGGCATTTAAAGGTTGAAACAAAAGACCCCTGCTGAATCTTCATTGGCAGAGCATTCCACAGGACTGGGCCAATGACATTAAAGGATCGGGTTCTTGTTCCTGCCCGATGAACCTCGCCAACAACCCTCCTGGAGAAAGTCTCAGTGACCGATCTTGAATATAAGGGTGTAGGCAGTTGATGTTCTGTAGAGTTAGTATGCTGTTAGCCAGTAAAGTGTGGGCATGACATACTGACCCCTCGGCTTCCTTTCATAGGTTGCTGATGTCTTGCAGTTCTCAGTGGAAACAGGTGGCTTCCTTCCTCACTGTATCAGCTCTCTACAAGACTGCTTAATGCGATACTTGGGGATGCCCTACAGATGCATCTCTTTCATGGAACAAAGGCAGCGTGTGATTGAGGTAAGTGGGATGGAGCCATCCCATCCTTTTCTGGAAAATCTGTTCTGGTGTAGCCAGAATATATGTTATTAGCTATGGTTATGGTCCTTTAGAAACTACTTTTATGCCAGTTATGCAAACCTTGTCAAAGAGAGGGTATACTCCGTATTTGTTCATTACAGTGGTACCTCGGGTTAAGTACTTAATTCGTTCTGGAGGTCTGTTCTTAACCTGAAACTGTTCTTAACCTGAAGCACCACTTTAGCTAATGGGGCCTCCTGCTGCCGCCATGCTGCCGGAGCCCGATTTCTGTTCTTATCCCGAAGCAAAGTTCTTAACCTGAAGCACTATTTCTGGGTTAGCGGAGTCTGTAACCTGAAGCGTATGTAACCTGAAGCGCATGTAACCCGCGTTACCACTGTAGTTTGGTTGCTGGCACAGGACAAGGTACTGCAAACAGTAGAATAGTAGAATAATAAAATCGTAGAGTTGGAAGGGTCTCTCAGGGTCATCTAGTCCAACCCCCTACAGCCAGGAATCTCAACTAAAGAATACCTGACAAATGGCCATCGAACCTCTGCTTAAAAACCTCCAAGGAAGGAAAGTCCACTTTCCGAGGGAGTCCATTCCAGCTCTTACTGTCAGAAAGTTATTGATGTTTAGTTGGAGTCTCCTTTCTTGTAACTTCATAGAACCACTGAGTCCAGGGGGTATTCACTGGCGAGTTCTTAAAATAGTGCAAATGTGAAATAGTTGTTCTTATAAAAAGAAAAAGTAACTTGCCCCCTGTATCAGTACTAGAGGCCTGGAAAATGGCCAACGATACATCCACTATTAAAAAGGAATCTGGGAAATTACATGCCAGATAGCTTAACATCTTTTCCAGGTAAATTGGTGAAAAGTATTCATAAAGAAAAAAGTAACAACAGTATAAGACTCTTGCTTAAGCAGAATTAGCACAGTTTCTGCAAAGATAAATCTTTCTGCTCAGCAAATTTAAAAGCCATGGATTAAGAGTTCTCTTATGGACCCACTAGCTCAGGGTTCAGCAAACTTTTTCAGCAGGGGGCTGGTCCACTGTCCCTCAGAACTTGTGGGGGGCCGGACTATATTTTGAAAAACAACAACAAATGAATGAATTCCTGTGCCCCACAAATAACCCAGAGATACATTTTAAATAAAAGGACACATTCTACTCATGTAAAAACACGCTGATTCCCGGACCTTCTGCGGGCTGGATTTAGAAGGCGACTGGGCCGGATCCGGCCCCCAGGCCTCAGTTGCCTACACGTGCACTAGTTGGTTAAAGGACAGGAAGCAGAGAATACAAATAAATTGATTGTTCTCATAATGGAGAGATGTGAGAAGTGGGGTTCCCAAGGGTTGGTATTGTGACCTGTGCATACTATCCAACTACCTAAGTCATACTTGGGAGTAGTCAGTGGGTTTAAGCAACTTAAGAGCTCTCTGTTTTTAGGAGGAATAAAAGCCCATTTTTCTACATAGGGCAGGAGATGGTTCTGAAAACACTTGGAATGCAAAGGTGTTATCAAGGAGTCCAGAAGGAAGTAGTTGTCTATAAACATGTTCTTGGGAGGAAAAGGGGTACAGGGAAAGCCTAGGGAAATCTCAGGAGTGGAAGGAAGATGAAGGTCTAAGAAGGGAATATTATAGAAAGAGTAAACAGGTAAAGGATAGAAGCAACGGGGAAACAAGAAACCAAAGTTCACAGATGACTAATAGAGGCTTGGTATGAAAGATGCAAGATTCTATCGGGTGCAAAATACTAGGTATTTGTGTGTTCTTACCTGGGAGTTTATCTTACTAAATTAAGACAATCAATTACATCTGAGTAAACTTGCAGTTGTTGTTGTTTTTTTAAATCTGATACTGCTAATATGAGTCATGTTTGTTTAGCGTGGTTATAATACTTAGCATTTATATAGTATATATGACCAATCTTCAATACTGTCTTGGTAATTCTGTAAAGTAGGCCGGTATTCTCATACGGGAGATGGAGGGCTGTAGCTGAGAGTAAATTGCTAAGCTAATGTCACATGATGAGTTCATAGGAGAGGCAAAATTCAGCCCAGTGCTTCCTGATGCACAGCTAGGCATGTCCAAAATCCATTTTGGGGGGCCTAATCCTGCCCACCCTGCGGCAGTTTATCTCCCGGTGTAAAATCCTTAAAAAAGCTCAACAATTCTGGTTGGCCCTCACACATGTTCACTTCATCAAATCTGGCCCTCTTTGAAAAAAGTTTGGGCACCCCAAGAAGGTCTAAGCCAATAAGCTACACCAGCAATTGCATTTGAACTCCAGTTTGGGAAGTGTTAGTATTATTATTATTTTTTCATTTTACATTTGGGGTATGTAGGAAAACCCCGAGATATGGTTTGTGCGACCCCTTCCACCTGCATTGCTGAAAGTGTTAGCTCTGGAGGCAGCATACCTCCTCCCTCTCCGCATGCTGCTACTCGATGAAATCATGTCTGACTTAACAACTTTGGTGGATGGATATTTAAATGCCTTTCGGGAAGGATCTGCAGATCCACTGGGGAGCACAGAGGTAAGTGAAACTTCAATAACTTTCAATTTCCTTATTGCTGCCAGTCTTGTTTTTAGATTTCAGAACTGCGCATTACTGAGGTTTAATGTTTGTTTGTTTGTTTGTTTGAATCCTGTTCTGCTTTCATTTTCCAGGAGATTCCAAAGCAATTCACATTATAAATCACAAAAAATTAATTGGAATTGTTTGTAACACCATCATAACTAAATGCAACAGGAACCAGCGCTAGTCAGGGAACGCCTGAGTGAAGAGTGTTTAGTTCAAGGGGTTGGCAATTTTTTGTGTGGCTTGGGCTGGTTCACGGTCCCACAGATGCCGCAGTGGGCCAGAGTGTGTGCACGCACGCACAAACGCTATTTCCGGCGCTCCTTCTGGCACGAGGAGAGCTCCCAGCCCAATGGGAAGCCGGCCAGCGTTGTGGAAGGTGGTCCCCACTCTGCTTCGCGCCAGTTTAGCGCGGTGCACGGGAGCTGACTGAGCGGGTGGCGGGAGTCCCCAAGTAGGTGGCGGGGGGGCCATGAGCCGGTTAAACAACCCCCATGGGCCGCTTGTGGCCCATAGGCCTTAGGTGTCTGACCCCTGGTTTAGTTGATGCTAGTGAAACCACCCATCACTGGTGTCTGCCTAGCCTCAGTGGGAAGAGCAATCCAAACCCAGTCAAATAACCTCAGTGTTGTCTACACTGACTGGCAGTGGTTTTCCAGGCATTCAAGCAGGAATATTTTCTAGCCTTACCTGGAGATGCCAGGAATTGAAGATGTGACGTTTTTGCATGCAAAGCCAATACTCTTATCACTCAGGCACACCTCTTTCAATACCAGATCCTTAGTATTGCATTTGATTGTCTTATATCTCCTGCCAGTCCTCTTCATATGGAAAATGGGTATTTAAAGGACTTACATGAGGAATGCGACCACAAAGAGCCAACACACACACACACCCTGCCCAGAGGGGAGTGAGCCTTGAAAAAGTTGAGCTGGTTCCCCTCCCAACGTCAGGGGATCTAGTTCCCTTCATCACAGTGGGTACCATGCAAGAGTAAATATTACTTGCAAAAATAAGAGTGAAATGCTAACACACACATCCAATAGTGTTGGGGTTAGGAGGATGCAGTGTTTGTGTCAGCTGAGAGGCACATCATTGGGGATGGTAGGGATTTATCACAACAGAGGCATCAGTAAGTGCCTGCCTGTGTTAGGCAGCAGATAGCCATTTAAATGGGTTGCTTCAGGGTGGGGATTTTCAGGCCCCTCATTGGCATGGATCTAACACAGCTGGAGTAGAATGTATTGAGCTTTTCAGTGTTTTAGCTCCATCTGTAGATTTAACTATTCTTGAAACAGTAATAAAAAGTATACTACAGTTCTGATCTACATGCATGTGATTTTTAATTAGATATCCTGTATGGAGCTACCACAAGAGCTTAGACAACTGTCAGATTTTTACAAGGAACGAAGAAAGAGGGCAATGCAGAACTTCCAGCTGAATGAGGAAGGTCTCCTCATCAGAAAGCAATTAGAAACTATGGGAAGAAGGGTAGCAAAGGCGAAAGAAAACCAGAGAGATAGTACTGGCTTATTTCTTTCTAGTAGGGCAGTATCCCCTAAAACTACCAGTCCTCTCCACCTCTTGGGTCAAGATGTTCAGGACAACTCTGAAAAAGAAGACCGGCAGGCAAATCATTGTAATAATCAATGGGCGACAGTTGGTGCGAGTAATGTTGAATCTGAAGCAGAAGCAAGACGTTCCGTTTGCTGTAAATCAGTACTGGGAGCATCTGAGGTGAAAGGAAGAAAACCATCTCCAGTGTTCAAACCACAAACAAAGGTAGATTTGACGTTAGAAGAGGAAATAAAGGAATTGTTGACAGAAGGCAAGAATGAAGACAACAAATCTGCTGTTTCTGCCCTTTCACCTCCAAAAGCAAACAATTCTAGGATCCCATTTCAAGCTGTAAAGCAATCTAGCCAAACCCTGTCTAATGCTGCCATGAGTAGAAATCCCTCTTCTCAAACAACTCGTGATTACTGTCTCCAGGTTCCCACAAGACAGAAGAATGGGGGGAAGTGATTTGGCGGTTCACTTTGTCTTGCCTTCAGATTTCAACTGTCAGCTGCCAGCCCCAAGCCCTGGAGGCAAGGAGCAGAAATTGTTTCCTTTTCAAATTCTTTATTGGAAGACTTCCATTAATGGAGCAAATTCTGGAGGCGGCTGGACACAATACCCTTCATGTTGTATGCAGTTTCCTGCTCCTATAAACACAATTGATGTTACTGGTGTTAATTCTACCTCTGTAGTCTTGAGTTCAGTATTTTTTCCAGATTATTCCAAAGAACCATTGATTTTCATTCTATTTGAATGTTCCAATTATCCAACTAAACCTAAAGTTCATGTATGTGCTTCTTGTATTGTTAACTTCATGACAAAGGGGGAAGGAGCCCCCAACCCTTTCATGATGATTTTTAAAAAAACAAAACCAACAACATAGAAACACAAATCATCTGCAGAATTGTTAGCTGTTCCCCACTGCTCCTCAATACAGTATTTGCAGTAATATCTTTGGAACAAGTTTTCCATTCTGGATCGCAAAATTCTCCCTAGAGCAATATAGAAAGTTATTTATTGCACCAAGTACCCATAAATAATAGCATTATTTGTACAACATAGTCTACAAAGGAACAGCAAACATTTTAAAGCAGCTCAATCCTAACCACGTTTACTCCGAAGTTCAATTATCAGTTGGACATGTGATGCAGTACAGAATAACTGTGTTCTAGGTTTCAAAAGGTGGTTGTTGTTGTTCAGTCGTTTAGTCCTGTCCGACTCTTCGTGACCCCATGGACCAGAGCACGCCAGGCACTTCTGTCTTCCACTGCCTTCCGCAGTTTGGTCAGACTCATGTTTGTAG